TGTTGAAATTTTTCTCCGTTGCGTGTCGCTTCGTGTTGAATTTTCGTCGATGTTAAGCCTAACGAAGATTATTGTATCATTAAAAATTATTTTTTTATTTTGTACAAACAAAATAAATATATTGAAAAATATAAAAACAATAAAAAATTATACTTCAGAAGTTAATTTAGTATCAAAAACATAAAATATTTGAGTAGCCGAAGACATAGCCAAAGATTACAGCGCCACAGCACTGGCGAAAATTTAAATTTGTCGATTGAAATTCCTTCGGATAACTGACGTTTTGGATAAACGACGCTCTACTGTACAACATTTCAAAGTTTGATAATTTTATTAAAGCCAAAGGATTGCTGGATTAAAATTGGGCTAAATTACTTATTAAATTTAATAATTATAATTAAATTAATATTTATTAATTTAATTATGGTTTCTAATGCCTACCTGTAGTGTCAAATTACTGTGTATAATTATTAATAGTAGCAGTAATTAAGTCACTTAAATAAGTACAGTGGATTCCAATTTAAAAACTTGTTCAAAAACCTATTTGATTCCAGTTCTGCCTGATGATGACGTTTATAAATATGTCGAAAGCACTCGCAGGATATTAAAATGTTTCTTAAAATGTTTTTTAACGCCTTTTTATGTGAATTTTTCTCTTGAATCAGTAGCAGTAATGTAGTCCAATATAATCTGGCAATCGTTTGGCTTTATTATTTGAACAAAAATTTAAACTAAAATAATATAATTTGAATATTACATTATACTTTAAAAGTGATAGATTTTCAGTTTGCTTAACCAAATTTTTATTTAAAATTTTTAAAATTTTACAATGCCTTTAAAAGTATAATTAAAATTAAATATTTATATATTAATTTTACTTTGATTTATAGAAAGGTTTTCTATAAATTAATATTACTAATCAATAGTACTAAAGATATTGTTTCATTTTTAAAGGCAATGGATCCATTCATGATGCTATGGTACCAGTAGATAATAGCTATGATCCGTTAGTAAGATCAGATTCATATGAAGCTTTTGATCTAGCACCAGAAGATCATATAGAAGGTTGGAATTAATTAAATAATAATTATTTTAAATAATTTAAAATTAATAACACAATTTTAATTGGAAATAAATTGTATGTAACTTATAAACATTATTTCCCAACATAACTTATTTATACATTACTCTATTTACTTGAATGTAAGACACCATCAAATGTAAGACATACCTTAATTTCTATATGCTCACCCTTGGATTTTTTTTTTTTTTTTTGAAAAATAGACAACTGTAAACAATTTATGTCAACAGAATCAGTTCTGATGGAATAAATTTATTCAGATTTATTGCACAGTAAAGTAACACTGTCTTCTTGACACACCTTTAGTTTCAAGTTTCTTATGCACAGGCTGCTCATCCAGCATGGAAATAAATTATTTCTGGAGATCTGACAATGCAAGCTCATTTCCTTGTAGCATGACAATATACTTCAGCATGCACTTCCACTATGATGTGTAGCCTGTAGTAAATGTAGATGCATATTATAGATGCATTATCAGATGGTAATGAGATACATTTGTTATTCTGGTTTCTTTGTATTTTTATTCTGAATGGAAAGTGGGATCATGCAGGTTTAGAAAAAGCATCCTAGTGAGACAAATGGGACAATGCAGAACATGGACTTAAAGTGCAGGCTGTATCCTGTATAAAGTGGGACATCTGGTCACCTTACATATACATGTAGCACTTCTCTCAGTTAAGTAATACTCTATAGTCATGTTTCTTTTATATTTTAAAATCAGTGTTTGGAAAGTCTGCTGAAATTTTTAATTGTCCATAAATATGAAAGTATAAGAAATTGTTATTTAAAATATATTTATGACTAAAAAGTTTGTTTTTAACAAACTACTTCTAAAATGTTTTCTTAATTTCCTCTGTAGTTTTAAAGTATGCTATTGCTGTTTATATTCAATTACTTTCCATCAACAGTTTACCATATTTTCATGAGTATATAGTATCAGATAAATTATATAAGTGTTAAATGAGAATGTTACACTTTGATCAAGATAAAACATCTATATTTCTGTTTATTTGCTGAAATAATTAATCAGCTTCCAATTTGAAATGATAAAAAAGGTATTAGACAAGGATCAGCCAGAATATATCTGATTAACTAGTGATAATATGATTTATAAATGTAGTTAGAATGATATAGAAGCCTCCAGGATTCTGTGTGGTGGTGTGGAGGACAAAAAAAGGATGACAAAGAAGTAACCATAAATTAAACAGGATTTTATTTAACTACAGTTACGTGGTCCTTCGTACACCTTGTTCGTTTACACTAAACACACTTGATCCCAAACTATAGTACGCACACAAGTTCGAAGCCGTTCGACAAATTCTATATGCTTTCACAGGCAGGAGACACATGCTCACGACAATGCAAAATTATGGTTTGAGAGATACTACAACTAACTTAAATCTACCTTAATCTAACTTATATGCTAAGGAAGAAGGGTGAAGAAATTAAGAGATATGAAGAGAAGAGACAAGTATAAAGGACAGATTTGTGGGGGTACCCGGGTAAATTTGGCAGTCTCCGATCTTCTCTATATCGGTACTTGAATCAGTTTCCTTCCTCTCGTTTCTGTCTCTTGAGAATTCGAGAGCATTTTTGAAGTCTTAATCTGGGTGTCCTTCTAATTTTCGTCCGTTCGCAGACAACTTCCAAGCCTTCTCTTTTTGTCCCACTAGGCGACAAACCTTTAGCTTGCTCTTTCTTACATCTGTACACCTCGGACACTGACCCAAAAGTGTCTTCTTTGTTTTTACTGATGGCCTCAGGGCTTCTTAGTATCCCCTTTGTCTTCTCCCGTTATCCTTGGACAAAGGTTGTCCCCCACCCACAGAAAAAGAATAGGTTAGAAAGTTCTAGAAACAGACATTAAAGACAAAGGAAATTAGGAGAAATAAAACTTATATCTACCCCTATGTACAAAGACATGGCATACCACCACATCTGTATCATTCTAATTACACTTAAAATAATCATTTTGGCCAGAAAACTATTGAACTTAAGAGAGTAACAAAAGAATTCCACAAAAGATAAAACTCTTATTGTTATTGTTGTTGTAACATTAATAGATATTTACAAGTGTCTGGAAGAAAAAAAACCTAATATAAAATGCAAGGAGTGGCATAAATTGGAGTAATGTGAACAGGTAACATGTCATCCATGAAATGTATGCCTTCTGAATAATGCCAGTTGTTACCCATCTTGATGTTAAGAACATCATTCCTAATTCATAAATCAATGGAAAACTACTTTGGATGATTAATCATTGTTCTTTTAAGTTGAATTTGTCAAGTTTACAAAAAGTGCCACTTATCAGCCTGTATTAGCTGAATAATAATGTTGGATGAAGTTAATAAGCTAGTCTGTGGTGGTTTTTTTTTAAGACTAATAAAGTCATTTTTATTTTGGCTTTCAATCAATCCAAATGAAGCTGGTCCAAAATTTTAATTTTTTCAGTTGTCTTTCTACTTTCACTTATCACCAATCAGCCTTATTGTTTTGGTAATCCTCAAGATTATGTCTTTATCCATCAGGAACTTTTTAAATAGTTTTCTCTATTTGAGAAGATAATTTAAAATCTCTTCCTGCCAGGGGCGGATCTAGGTTTTTTGGGGCCTAGTGCTTATTGAAGTCCAATGGGGCCTCATTTTTTGTTAGATTAAGAATCTTTAAATTGGGGTTTAAAATTCATTTTTAATAACATCAAAATCAGAGTTGAAATATATTTATTTATGAAATGGTGTTGGATGATGATAACTGCTCATTGTTAATGAAAAGTATGATGATAATTTTTGTGGGTCCTTGACACATCCTTTTGTATAAGCCCTATTAGTCTCTATGTAGATCCGTCCCTGCTTCCTGCTAAAAATGCCTTATATGGTAAGTAGCTGATGTATTGCAAAGTTCAAATAATCCAATGTGATAGTGAAATTCTCTGTAGATTATCCAATAACTGTTTAGAAAACATAATCCAAAGATTTATTTATTTTATTATTCTACCTTTACTTGAAAATTATTTCATAATAATTTGAATATTATTAAAATTATTATAAAATGAATTTTAACAGTATAAATTAAAATAAAGNTTTTGGATTTTTACGGTTTTATACTTATGTAATCATCTTATTGTACAACCCTATTTGTTTTATTAAACTTTTTTACTTTGATTTTTGAGCGTTTGTGCCCATTGTCATTTGGTGTGATAAGCCCTTCCTATTATCTACCTTATGGTTATAGATATTTTAATTAATTAATTAAATTATACTAAGGGCTAAAAGCAATTTTTGTAATGTTAAAGAATTGTTTTAAGAATCAGAAATTTCTTTCAATTCGATTCTGATTACTAAAAAATGCTCAGTTATTCTGATTCTGAATACCAATTCTAATTAGTTGTCCCATCACTAATTGTAATATAAGATTTAAAGCAACTTTACAAGAAGAAATTCAGTATTGATAAGTAATGTGCTCCATCTTGTTGGAACCACATATGGCATCATGCTTCAAGAGAAATATTCTTCATGTACTTTAGCAAAATTTTTTCAAGAAAATTCTGATAGTCTGACATAAAAGGCCCTTCAATGAAGGCAATCCAATATAGTAGTTGTTTAGTAACTCAAATGATACTTTTACAAAAACCCTACAATGGTTGATGGTTACCTACAAGAACATCATAGGGGTTCTGATGTGCCCAAGTATGAAAATTTTGAGTAATATTGATTCCATCTTGAGTAAATTGAGCATTTTCTGAAGAAAAGGATACATTAGGAGAACTAAATTGCTCTGCAACTATTGGCAGTATTGTATGCAATGTGAAAAATCTCCAGTAAATGATGAAGTTTTTTCAGATGATACATATAGTGTTTCTTGATGCAAAATTTAATAAACCTAGGGTTATGAAACACTTGTTATGTATGATACTCTGTATATACTAGTAGATAGGCTTTATTACCCTGCATTTAAATATGATAACACTTTGGGACTAGATGTGAAACTGTTAAACATACTGAAACAAAAAATATCCAGTAGGAACAAACTTGAATAAAATAAAATAATATTTTCAATGGTTTTAAACTGTTATCTTTGGGTTAAGTTACAATAGAATGTAATGAAGAAGATATAAGATAATTTTTGAAGTGCAATGAACTACAGTTCTATTGATTTGAGAAAAGCATGTCATCAATGATATCAGTGTAGAGAATTTTATTAATGCAACAATTGTTTTAAAAGTATATTTCAAATAAGGATTTTCAAGCTGTAGAGGTGTACATATCTCTAGTTTATGGCTGTATTCCTAGTGGAAGCCTTATCAATTTATAGTTTTGCAAAATGTTTTAAAAGAATCCAGTCTGTGACAGAATGTAGTGTGCAGGCTTCACTGAGAGACATTTGGATGCCATTTTTGGCAGCCAATGCAATGAAAGATATGTGAACACTGTCAATTGGGTGGAAGGGTGTCCCAACAGCTGACGGTCAACACTGTTGTGTGGGAGTAGAACGACTCACAGAGACATGCTTCCCATTTCAAACCATTTATTAAATATATAAATATTCTTACAAATCTTAAACTGAGGCATAAGGCGTATTCCACAAGGGTAATAAGGCTGTTCAAAATGTTCAATAGTTCAGTTGCTCGTTTGAACTTCCAGTGAAGGTGAGGTTGAGATTGTTGGCCCTGGGGCGCACAACTTAACTTGAAGTGATGATTTCAGCAGTGGGTTGAACCTGGGTGAAACTTGCCAGAAGCAGAAGCCGAAGATAAATTCCAGATGTCAACTTGGCTTTTGTTGTAAAACGCAGCCTGAATCTGGGAGCGGAGCACTCTCCATCAAGGACCAAGAACTCTGAATGTCCTTGAAACATGCTGTTTTATAAAGTTTTCATCCAAAGGTGCCTCTCCATTGGTCTCTCATCGTCACTTAGTGACAATTCAAAACCCGTTGGAGGGCGTGAGAAAGATCAACTTCATGAAGAATATGCCTCCTCTCCCATT